GTAAAGTTGGGCTGCCCGTCTTCCATGGGCTTCTTTGTGTCCACTGAATTGTCAGAGACTTCACTTTTAATTTACGAGTAACCGCAAAAATATATTAATCTCTTTTGCATAGGCATATTTAATTACTTGCTTTTTTGTGCGTGGTAACTGTGAATAAATCATTTTATAGGCTTCATTTTGAATGTGATTATATTTTTTTTTCAGGTCACTTCGTACTTTCTTTGACTCACTCGCTGATGATTTGGGTGACATGAAAGTGGGAAGGGATTTTTTTATTGCTCTCTTGTACGAGAAGATGTCTAGCGATCTTATGAGCATGCTTTTACAAGACTGTATAACGAAAGCAATTCCAATTGGGCCTAATGATGAAGCTCGCTTTGAACAGCTTAAGTCTCTAATGAAGGAATTTCTTCACCGCTTACAGGTTTTTTGCTTTATCTTTTAACTATATTCTAGCCCAGGCGTTCTTGAAAATCAAGACTTTGGTAGTTTTTTAATATTGAATTGAAATTGATTTTGGTTTGGAAAAATATTTTTTTAGGAAAGGGGATATATTCCAAATGCGGAAGAGAATTATAAATTATTTGTAGAAGAACTGGATATTGTCTTTAATAGCCGTCATTGTACTAAAATCATTGTCGACGCTCGAACTCTTATTTCTACTCCCTATTTAGAGCTTGAAACGGTAATTTGACAGAAAATATACTGTGTCAGCGTTTTAGTCCTTTAAAATTTTCTTTCTATTGTTATTCTCAAAGCATTTTTTGCCTTTTACACAGTTTTAAATTCTTGTTTTTACTGCGAGCACTGAAGTGTCATGGGATTCATTGTTTTTTTAGGTTGGATATGGACAAGTTGATGAGGTCGAAACTGCGGGAGAAATAAAAGCAGAATGTGACCAGACTAAAAAAAGAGTTTTGAATCGCGACAATTTTCCGAGGCTTTTACGTTTTGCGAAGTGCCAGGTGAGGTAGTGTAATTTGATTGTTGACGCTTCCACAGTTAAGGGTTTCGTTTCTTTATTGCGACTGAACTTCAAAAATGCGATGAATAATAGGCTTGCTTTCAGTAAGTCAACTGTGCAATTCATTGAATTGATAAAGTCTGCTGTTATGAGTGCGGCAAAGATAGATTCGGAATCTGCAGCTGGACGGCTCTTGCAGACTGCGCGTAATGCTGTACAGCTTTTCATATGCATAGCACCCCGTTATCATCAAACTCAGATCTCTAGCGTGCCGCAAATTGCTGGTGAGTTTGTAAAGATAAGAAAATAATTTTAAATCTTCTTCACTAAGCGGAGGGAAAAGCCTCGTAATAAGTTGTGACGCACTTTAGCAAATAGTACCTTTTTTGTGGTTTATCTACTTTTTTAGCTGTTTTTTACAACAACTGCTATTATATATGTCACTGCTTGATGACGATGCCGGTCGACGTCTCTGAAGAAGTTTCTACTGCTCTTCGGGTTATTTGTTCTATTTTTTTCTTTTCGTTTTTTATTTATTTTTTCTTTTTTTTTCAAACATGATTTTGAGAGTTATTTGAATTTTTGAAGTTAAAGCAAACTGAGCAAATCCTCGGTAACTCATTTGGAAGAGCAGTGTTCTCGAGAAAATGTATTTTTACGATTCTCATTTATCTGACGCCTAAGTTTTGCTTAGCATTGCCGCTAGAAAGAACAGCATTCTTGGCATCTTCTTTCCTTTTTACAGTCTTAGGAACAGGTAGGAGTGGTCGGAGACCGACTTCGCTGACCAATTCGTTAAGGTTTGAGAAGAGAGAAAGGAATGGAGGAAGTGTCTCAAATTTTTAAGTTTCTAAGAGAGCAGTTTTTATGTGATTATTTGAAGTTTATATGAGGGAAATGCCCGGAAAAATATTTGTGGGGTATGTTGGTTTTGGTTATTGTTAAGCGGTGAACATTTTATCACGTACGAAAGCCGACTTTGACTCAGTCGGTGCTAACGTTTCAAGAAAAGAAGTCGTATTGTGCGGTGCTACATCTGGGAGAGCGAAGGGAAGGGAGTGAGGACCGAGGTCAATTCTTCTAAAAATTATTTTTCAAAACATTCTTTTTGTATTTTGAAATACAAAGATATTATTTTGAAGCGGAAGCATTTGGCTATTACTTTCGTCGATTTTTTACCTGCATTGCGCCAACTAGCTGCTGATGCACTGGAAAAACATCTCGTTCAGTGTCGGAGACAGATTGCCACTATTCTTTCTGACAGACAGGGTAGGTTTAAAAATTTATTTTGATTTGGTATGGATATATGAGTGTGAGTATGGGAGGAACTGTTAGTGACTTTTTATCTTTAATGACTAGGTCCACACCGTTCCTTAGACTGATTCTTTTCTAGTATTTGTGAATTTGGATGACGTACGCAATTTCAAGACATGTGAGGGCACATTGGAATCTTGTTCATTGTACTTAATTCAAATCGCTAATGTCTGGCGAGGTGTAAGTTTATGGCTCTCGCATCAGTAAATAGCGGATTGTTGTACCGTGCTCTCCAGAGCCTCTTACAGGTGTTTTCAAATACTGTTTTTGGAAAAGCTTTGGGAAATTTGGTGGCGTTTCTTTTCAACTCCATTATCAAAATTATTTTTGCTAACGAGGATATCAAGGCGTATGATGCTGAAACGTCGGCAAAACTTATCATAAGAACCGTGACTGCGATGGAGAAATTGTTTGAGGTTTGCACGTTGAGAAATTAGGTCTTCTATTTCACATTTTATCATTTATTTTTTCCTGATTCTTGCAGTTTGGAGAGCCTGGTTGTTCAAGTATTCATCAATTTGCTGAAAGAGAGTATTTTTGCCTAAAGGAAGTTATATTTTGTTTGCAGGCCTCGTTACAGGTATACAACTTCAGGAATGATTTTACTTTTGTGTCTTTTCCACTCACGTTTTTTGTATATTTCTGTCTTTTTTCTTTTAAGGAAATTTTTGATCGATGGTGTAGCGGTAAAGGCCCATTGGCGCAGTGGCTAAAACCAAAAGAGCTTAGCCATTTAGTAGTAGCACTTTTCCAAGAAAGTGAAAAGCGAGATTATGTTTTGAAAAGCATTGGTTAATTAGTGATATATTGGGATGCATTAGTCTTGGAAAATATTTGTATAAATTGCTTATCAAGCCGGTTTTTTGTTTTGCATTTTGTAGGACCTGAGGTTTGAAAACCTCTTTGAATTATTCTTAATAGTTTTCTGTAAATGTCTTTTCTCGAGTGCGAATTACTGTCTCTGTTTGGAAGGTATAAGGATTTCTGGATAAGAAAAAAGAAGCGGTCATGAAGTAATGGAGGAAATAGATAAATGCTGGAAGCTTCACAAATCTCACTATGAAAACATTCTGGGTTTCTCTCGTACCTTCTAAACGCTCAGACGGGTTGAACTTTCAAGGCGCTACGCATGAAATTTTTAACAAGGCATTGTTATTAGCACATCTTTTAAAGACAAAATTGACAAACAAATTTCCATGGATCTTTGTTTTCGTTGATTTTCCTGGTTTTAAATTGGTTTATCAAGTTTTATATGAATTGTATCTCTGAAAATCCATTGTCATTTACTGTGTAATACTGTTTAGCTTTTTTTTCATTTCTATTCATTTTTTTGACAACTTGTATTTATACATATTCTTCATATAACTTTTTTTTGCCAGTTTTCATCTTATCTGCTATTCATTTTTGCATTTTAATTCTATAAAATTTGTCATTCTTAATTGGTTACCTTCTTTGAGTAGAGTACTCAGGTGCTTTATAAGTTTGAAAAACGCTACGCGCTAAATTTAATGTACTAGTAGGGAAGAGAACTTAGGTTTTTCCAAGTGGTTGAAACAAATATGCGCCAGGAACAGGCATTTTGTGGTAAAATTTGTGTTTGTCGATAGCAGAGGAAGTTACTCAGGAAGAAAGATGCTCTTCGGGGAAAAAGGTGGGCAGAGAAAAAAATTGCATCAAAGTAAACATGAGGTGAAATTTTTAAGCTGACTTATAAGAGGTGAAGACGTGAAGTATGGTTGTTTGCATTTCCTCGATGCAGTAGGTGCAATTTTAGAACTTTACAGCAACGGAAGGAGTTTTCTGGAGTGGCACGTGGAATTGCCGGCTGATGCAGCTCATTTTATCTTAAGCGCAGTGAAAAAGATGGTTTTTTGTGCTTGCTTGAGTTTACAGGATCTACCCGTCTATCAAATGATTGTGAAATGTGCTTGGACTACTTGTGGAGATAGAGTTTAAGTTTTTTTAGTTACTGGACCAGTCTGTCAATTGGAGATATGTTGGTTTTGAGTAATTTAGATTTTTTAGAAGTTGCAGTGTGAATTGCAACTCACGCTGACAATTTTATGGTACCTTCTTTTCAAAAAAAGAAAAAAGCAAAAATAAAGTAATGTGACTGATTAAAACATTTTGGCTTCATCTGCTGTTTTCCCGGTTTTTCACTTTCTTATCTCTTGGCAGAGAAACCCACTAAAAGTCTCCTGAAGTGAGGTGAAAAAAGGTTCCCCTTTTTGGTGCGGCCCAATTTTATGTAATGTATTTCAGCCGGTTATTGAGGCATGCTGAAAAAGCCACAGAATAATTGTTTTATTGCATTGCTAGTTTGGTATGAAGAAGAAGGAACTTGATTTTTTATATTGACTAATTCGTAACTTAAAATTTTATTTTGTCTTTTGTTTTTGACTGAATCTGAAAGACTTAAATGAGAGAAAGTGAGAGGTTTTGCAAAACAAAATTTGAAAAAAGCACGATAAACTTATAGTACTCTCCTATTGAAAATTTGACGATTTAGGTTATAAATGTTGCAACAGAAATTCCTTAATTTACCTGACGATGAAAATGTCGAAAAGTAAATGGTCATAGAAATTGTCTGAAGCAGTGTTCAGAACAGATTATGTGTAAGAATTGCGGAGTGGTAAAAAGTAACTGTAAAATGTTTACAGATTTTTCTTCGTGTAAAGGAAATACTGCAGCATTTTTTCTGCAGTATTATAATCACGCCAAAAACTTACAAACCAGTGTAAAAATTTTGTCAATTTTTTTTAGAGTGGAAAAATTTTGCTTAGAAACAATTTAGCTTATCGAAAGTGTAGTATAGTCTTCGGAAAAATTGATGCGCTAAAAACAGATTGTGAACTAGTATTTTAGATGGTTTAAACATGAAGTTCTGAAAGAACCGAACAACAAATTAGGGATGTATATTTAAACTGAAAACTGTAACGGTTAAGGAAGTGTGTCTGTTAAAAGTCATATATTTATAACAGAGAAATTACTCTATTAATTTGATCACAATTTCTTTATAAGAGATTCACTTACGGTTAGAGAGTCGGCGTTGAGCACAGTGTGTCAGATTGTCTTGCGAAGAAAACCACTTGAACTACCGAGTTCTGGATAAATATATTAAAGGTTAAGTCGCTTTTGCATAGCCTCTGCAAGTCACTCGACCAAATTTCTGGCGCTTAAGAAAATTATTTGTGAATTTTTCAATCAGTCAAAAAAGACGATGTCATACTCAAAGAAGGCAACTGTAAAGCTGTCTGTTAAGTTTAACACTTCCAAAAGGTAAAAAACCAAAATTTTATAAATAATTTCTCAAAGGCTGTTTTCAGTTTTATTTGAAAATTCAAAGCTGTTTTTTTTTGCGGAGATTATTGGCTCCTCATTATGCTTTCTTTGTCTTCTTCGTCGCTCGCGTTCTGTCCATCTGACGACTATTTTTGCCTCTTGAAAGTGGACAGAAGATTAGAAGATGTACGCTTTTTTCTCTCTCTTATTGTTTTCTGAATGCAGATACGGTGTTTAAAAAGTAAACTGGTAAATTTATCTGTATCATATGTAGTGAGGCTATATTTGTACTGCTAATTTAATTGAAGGTTTTAGAAAACTGCGGACTTTAGCAGATGTTTCAGAAACCAACTTATGGCGATTGTATCTGGCTGAATGCAGCTTGAAGCTTCATACCTTATTAAGTGAATCGTTCGGAAATATGTGAATTTGTGATACTGATAGTGACATGTGCGCGACACCAAGTATGTAATTACTAAAAGCCATTTATATTTTTGGCACAGTTTGGACAGCAGTGAATATCATGCGCGGTATCAGCGACAGCAGGAGCGAAAATCTAGATACTATTGAAGGCTGATGACAAATGCTGAAAATATCATCCGGTAAACGAATAATTGGTTTTTCTTTTGTCTGGATACTGAATGCGTTGCTAACTGGCAACAATTTTGAAGGTTTTTCCCTGACAACAGCAAAAAAATTTTATGTTTATGGTTCCAAAGTGACAAACTCTTTAAGCATTTTTCTTGACAAAACCTCTTGCTGAGTAAATTTTCGATTTATTAGTGTACCAAAACACGTTGTTCAGTTTCTCTATGAAAGTTTAAAATGTTAAAATTTTTTTAGTTTTAAAGTCATGCGGCCAGTGATAAAATTTGTTGATAAACTTTTAAAGGAAGTTAGCGGTTCTGTTTAGTTGCATTAAGCAGAACTTTGACGTTTGTGCGAGATAAAAGGTTTTTACAAGATGTTATATTTGTTCTAAAGAGGAATAGTTCGAAAGTTTTTAGGTTTTTGGCATTTTAAGCCATATTCTCTCTAACTAATTTTGCTTTAAAAGCTTCTTGAGCAGAACGTTCTCTGAAAATGTGCCGTTATAAAGCCTTTTATTTGAATATTATTTTTTCTTATTTTATTTCGAAAATATTTTTAGTGCAGAAAGCAATGATTTTTGTAGGTTTTTTTGGGATAAACGAGCTTTTGTAAAAATCACTCGAAGGGAACACTGATGGTGTCTTCATAATGCTCAGTAGTTACGACTATTTTTCAGAAGTGCAGTCAGTCGATAGCTGTCAGCCAAAGTTTTATTTGCTAATTTTGCGAACAATTCACTGGAAACTTTATGTCTATTTTTAACGATTTTTAAGAGAATTGTGTTCAGGAATTGAAAAGTTATTTAGCACCAGAAGTCGGGATTTAAACGCTATGGGAGACGGTGAAAATGTTATTGTGGCCGTTCGTGTGCGACCATTCAATGATCGCGAAAAAAGTCGTAAAGTTAGTTTCTACTTAGGAAACTTACTCAATTTTTTACAATGTTTTTGGTTTAAAGATTGAAAAAGGATTAATTAGAAGGTTAAATGGTAATAGTAAACAATGATTCAAAATGATTTTTAACACCTTTCTTATAGCAATAAAACCCCACTTACTTAACACATTTGTTAAAACTCATTCTTGAGGAATCTATTATTGTGTTTAGGCTCAACTAATCATTGATATGCCAGATGATAAAAGAACTGTAATTCGAGACCCAAACAATCCTGACGATGATCCAAAAGTGTTCACATTTGATCATAGCTACTGGTCTCATGACGGTTATAAAGAGAATTCAAAAGGTTATTTAGAGCCTGTAGATGATCACTACGCTGACCAGGTTTAGTATTACATTGTTTCGTGGTGTTTTATATGTTTCTTTTTGTTCTTTAATTTTTAGCTGACCGTAGTTGTCGGCATTGATTCTACTGTAATCGAAAGAAAATTCCTACAAAAATATTACCAACTAAAACATTTATGTTTTTATAAATTGTATAAAAACTGGAAGACATTTTTAGTGATTATCAGCTCTTGTTATTAAGAGAAGCAAATTAATCTGATTTTTTATAATTTTTTGTTGTACGATATATTTTAGAAACACGATTTAGAACCTGTGATATCAGCCTGTATTGGCTCGTCTAAAGTTTGCGCTGCAGTTAATAAATATGACAATGCTAGAACAGTTCTAGTATCTTCCATAACTTGATAATGGTGTTTTTATCTTGTCTGTGAAATTTACTGTCACTTTTTAAAAGATACCTCAAAAGAAAAAAGAGAAAGGGCTGTAACTATGCTTGTTTTCATAAGAAGTTATACACAAATTTCATTGTAGAATAAAAAAAATAAAATGTCAAACTCTTTTCTTTTGTTGATGAGCCTTCATTTTTTGCAAAATATTCTGAGCTAAAACTGATATTTTGTTTTAAAAAAATATCTCTAACAGATTAGTCATTTTTCAAAAGACTAAAAAATTTGCTTCAGTCATTAACGAAAATTTTGTAATTTGACAAGACCTGTAAAAAGTTAGTACAGTAAAAACTGCAAATATTTGAGATTTCTTCCATCGCTAAATTTTTACTGAAGAAACGTGTCAATTTTATCATATAAATGCTACTCGAGACATTCTTTTTATAAAATAGAAACCAAACGAAGCACACGTAAAGCAGCTGTCTTGATCAGAAGTAGAAAAGCAGAAAATAAGAACTGAAGATGTGGTGTTGTTCAGAATTGTCTGCAGAATGTATTTTTCTTTTAGAACAAACAAAGTTAATGCATTTTATAATTTAAAGTGCAAACTAATCTTTAATTTGCAACTATAATAAATTAAAGTTTTTGTCAAGGGAAATGAAAGCTTAAAAGACAAGTGAATTTTTCTTGATTGTTTATGATTGCAAGCAGGTCCAAATCTTTTGGCACCAAAAACAAATATTATTTATTGTAAGGGTTCTAAAGGTTCTAACTGTCACAGTGAAAAACTCATGAAATGAAAAATATTTTAACGATATTCTGGTGATCTGAGAGGCAGTTTTAGCTACTTGAATGACAATACTGCAGTTGATTTTTATTGAACAATAGAAAGAATAAATTTTGCTTAATTCAAAAGCAAAATATTCTTTAAAAAATAGCTTTTTTGTGGGATTTAGAAGCAGGAGACATAGTTTGACACTGTATAGTAACTTACTGGCTGAAATAACCTCTGCTTCAGGTACTGAAGAGTGTTTTTGTCATACTGAGTTAGTGGCGCTTTAGTTCGTCTAATACAAATCTTTTATACGGTTGTTTAGAAATTGATTTAAACAGCCATTACTGAGAGATTAGAAAAAAATAAAATGTTTCTAACTTTTTTGACACCTCAGTTTTCATTACTGTTAGCGAACTTCCTTTGATCATACCATATAATATTGACTTTCTAACCATGAAAATACTGCCGTGTAGTTAGGTGTAAGTAGAGCTTTTCTTTTAAACAATGTTTAAATAACTTTACCTTATCTTTCTAAAAACGAGCTACTGAAGTGACATATTGTTGGTAGTAGAAAATACTAACGTTTTTTTTTTTTTTT